TTCAAACATTACCCTTAGTTGAGTTGATCAAGGGAGGGTTTTCTCCAATCAAAATTTTGATCCGGCTAATGCTGATGACCATATGTTAGGATCATACAGAATGCTGTTGCTGATTATAATTCATTATATCTATGTCTTAATTGTTAAAAATATATTGTAAAACTTAATATGAACGGAAGCATGAGCCATTATATTCTTTTTCAATTGATTAAACATTCATAGTATAAAATCATGTTACCAACGATTTAACAACGACTTAAATAATTTAGTAGTTATCTCTTTTGATTGAAAATAAGAAATCTTAAGTTTGAATCACATGACATGCAAGTGGGGTGAAATAAAAAAAAAAAAAAGAGATGATTGCCTCCCATTTTGCAACTAAGATAATATATATATATATATATATAGAATTATGCTAGGAATATCATTTACCATGAATTTTTTAGTTCCTCGTGATGACACCCCTATAAAAATAATCATGTGGATTTTCATTAGGTTTTTCTTGGTTTTCTTTGTTCCTTATTTATACTTTCTTTATAATTTATTACTATAATATCAGATAATATTGTATTTATATGCCGTGGGTATATACTATCAAAGAAAATGTTGTTGATTGGAGTGAAAAGAAGATGAATGTCTCTTGCATTGGAAAATCAGCCCATGAAATGAAACATCTCAAAATAGGAGTATAAGTTGCAGCCTTCCATCAACAGCACCACAACTAAGCATAGAAAGACAGAAAAAAAAAAAAAAAATCTTAGTTTTACAATATCAAAAATTACGTTTGATTAACTTGGCTCAAAAGGATGGATATCTTGGTCTTATTTCTAGATAGATTTCTCTATTTTGAAATTAGAAGACTGGTCAAAGTTAGCTTTTTTTTTTTTTTTTTGGCTTTTTGTTTAGAAATTGAATTTACAAATTTGTAATTGTGTTTTTATATAGATGATTAGTTGTTTGCCATTGCAAAAGTCTAAACCTTTGTCTTTGGCCTTGAATTAAGCATTTTAAATTAGTGAGCATTAATTTAACTAAATTCTTATTAGTTACAAATTTGTAATTGCTGAGTTACAGATTTTGCAAGTAAAACTTTTAGTTATTTATATTTAGTACTTGGTTTGTTTGACAAGAAAGAAATTTATTATAACTAATCAAATTATTTTATTAGTTTAATGATTTAATTTAATTGGTCGAAATATAGGAATCTCCCCTTCTTTTTTCTATATTCCCTTCAAACCAAATAAGTTATTAGAGATAGATATTTTGTAACCCAAATTTCTTTCACTTATATAACAAAAATGACCAAACTACATAATTACTGTATAACTTAAACCAATAAATAGGGTTGGCCATCTAATATTAGCTTATTAGGAGCTACCCCTTTTATTCAATAATTTTTATATTTCAATTCAAACAGCACCCGCCTACAAAATAGAAAATTCTATATATAATTTCAAAAATAAAGGAAGAAAAATCAACCTGGGCCGAAAAAGCGAGGAAAAGAATTAAAAAAAAAAAATTAAAAAGGCAATAGGGGAAAAGAATTAGGTTGTATAGCAGCGAGAAAACATAAATGCCTTTTAGCAACACAAGAAAGCATGCTCTAATTAATGTCTGCAAGGATTAGAATTAGGGTTTGCAGTGGAAAGGGAAGAAATTGGGCGAAGGGGGAGGGACGATAGGGAGCATAAATCTAAGTCGAAAAGATGACACAGAGGAAGTGAACGTAAGTGGTAACTGGTAAGGTCCATCGGCTCCCTTGCTCCATCCAGTTCAAGGGTCCTTGCTCTGTCTCTGGTCACTATTTCAAACCCAGAGCCACAGGTAAGCTTTCTACTTGGATATGCATGTGCGTTATTCTGTGTCTGAAATTACATTTAGATGTAGATATATGGTTGTTGTTTTGGGTTCTATGCAGGGACGGAATTGCATGGGTTAAGACTTGAAGAAGCTAGCTTCAGGGGAAGGAAGTACCATTTCCCTTCCGAATGGCTATTCGGGTATGCTATTAGCTACCTCAAAGAACATTTTTGTTAGCATTTATTTATGAATCCCATTTCCAATTTTATTCAAGATGATTTCTTTTTTAGATGATGAGGACATGGACTTTGAATTCTAATTCTATTCCATTATGATGCAGGAGCATAAAGTGTTTTTTTTTTTTTTTTTTTAATTATTTGTTTTAGTTTGAGTTTTATTTGGAGTCTAAGTTTTAATTTTAGGGAAGTCATGTGGATAGCATGTGATTTCTGATTAGGACTAGAATTAGTAGGTTATTATAAGTTCAAATTAGTATTGAATTAGGATTCTTGGCTGCTGTTAGTATATATAGTTATCTTTAGATCTCTAAATCAGTTTTTGTTATGATATTTTAGTTTGAGAACAAACTTGAGGTTGAAAACCTAAGTTTTCTTGGTTTCATCTTTAATTTTACGGAGTTTTTAGTGTCTATTTGTTCTACCCCTACCTTCCCTGCATCACATTATCTTAATTTTTTTGTTCAACATATTTATTGGACCTTTTGGACTTTGTTTTCAAGAAAAAGTTGATAACTTTGCCTAAAGATTAGAGGGGTTGTAACCTAGTTAGGTTTTGACATTTAGGATGCATTTGGGTGGCTTTAAAGTCAGATTACCTAGAGTATGAGGTTGTTAAGTCATTTGAAAAAGTTTGTTTTTAGTACAAGTTGTGAAAAGTGAATCTTTTTGGTTGTCTCTTTGAAGGAATTTGTTCTAGGAAAGAAGAGCTTGAGCAGTAAAAGAGCTCTTGATACTTCTGAAGGGAATCCAAACTGTTAGGAGATGAAAGTAAAATTTGATAAATTAGCATATTGGAATGATGAAAGCATTCCTTCAAAGGATGATGCTTTTTGACGACATTTCCATTGGTTTTCGGTAGCAGAAGCAGTAAGTTTCTCTTTCTTCCAAAGTGCAGTATTTCATATAATTTCTAAGGCCTGCTAAACATATATGGATAAATATTTGGTTATAGATAATGATGCTTGACTCATATATAATATTTTTCATGATAACCATATAAAACAGATTTTGTAACTATGTAAATTTGAGGAACCCATGCTTGTTTAAGTCCATAGAGAGATTTTGTTAATTGACAGACACGTTCTCTTTTTGGGTCATATTCTGGTGGTAATTGCATAATTGCATGAGACCTATTCTTTACGATCTCCATGAAGGAAGGCATTGTGAATGTTAAGTTGATGTAATTCCCAATTTCGAATTGAGGCCATAGCTAAAAGGCATCTTATTATAACTAACTTGGCCATTAGAGCAAAAGTATCATGATAATCAAGCCTCTCAACTTGTGTAAATCCTTTTGCAACAAGACAAGCCTTGTATCTTTCAATTGTGCCATCAGCCTTGTATTCTATTTTGTAGACCCATTTGCAACCTATCGGTTTTTTTTTTCAAAAGGGAGTGTCTCCAAGGTCTAAGAATTATTTTTCTCTAGGGCTTTAATTTCTTCTTTCATTGCTTGTCTCCACTTTGGATCTTGAACAGCCTAAGAAAAAGATTTTGGCTTATCTTCAATAGAGATGGCGGCTAAAAAAGAGCAGTGAGAAGGACTAAATTTTTCTTAAGAAATTAAATGAGAAATTAAATGTCTTGTACTAGAAGTTTTGGTTGATTCATTGTTTTGTACCTGCACTTCATTTAAGATGTAATCAGTGGGACAGGAAGGTTTCCTTTTCTCACGTTGGGGCCGTGCAATTGCTTCCTGTTGGGTGCTTGTAGCATTTGTAGTTTCTGGTGTAAACCTAGGCACATGGGTAAGTGGCAAGGGGGTATTTGTAGTTGCATTTTGGTTTGTGTCAAGTGGGCTTGAATTAGAATCCTACATTACAGCACATGTTGATTCGAATGCGGTTGTGATTGCATGATGAACGGCTCATTTTTCTCCACCACTTGCATTTTCTTGATTTAAATTTGCATCTTGCAAATTCATCTTTTGTGTGCACGTGGTACTATCTAATTCACTCTAATTTCCATGTGGCATTATTTCAATGACATCATCATAATATGATGGCAAGGGAATAGTTGAAGTCTGTAAATGAACATGGATTTGTGTCCCTTCTTACTGAAATGGGAAAAAAATGTTCATAGAAAGTAACATCATGAAATATAAATTTTTGTTTACTATTTAGGTCATATATGTGATATCCCTTCTTACCTTGAGGATATCTAACAAAAACGCATTTTATAGATTGAGTAGAAAATTTTTCTTGAGCCAATGATAGGTTATGAGCATGGCAAAGACAACCAAATACTTTGAGATGTGAATAAGTGGGAGGCTTACCGAAAAAGAGCTCATATGATGCCTTACCATCAAGTAACAGAGTAGAGGTATAATTAATGAGATGCGTTGTTGTGAGTACACATTCTCCCCAAAAGAATATGGGCAACTTTGCTTGAAATCAAAAGGCTTGAGCAACATTTAAGATGTGTCGATGTTTTCTCTCTGCTACCTCATTTTGTTGAGGTGTATATACACGAGATTTGACGTATTATTCCTTGCTCATGAAAGAAGGCATGCGTAGAATTGGAGAGAAATTCTTGTCTGTTGCCAGTGCATAACTGGTTAACCAAAAAATCTAAATTGGGTTTTAATCATATTGACAAACATGATTAGATAGTGATAAGTCTTAAACTTGCACTTCATCAAGAAAACCCAAGTAGCATGAGTAAAATCATCAATAATAGTTAGAAAATAATGTGCCTTGAATGGGAAGGGGTATTGTATCTACCCCAAATATTACAATGTATAAGAAAGAAAGGTGATTCAACACGTTTATGATTAATATGAAAAATACTTTTAGTTTGTTTTGCTTGATGGCAAACATCACAACATTTAGGAAAAGATGTAGGATGAAAAGAAATATTTTTAGATAATAAGGATAGGCGACCAAATGATACATGTCCCAATCTTTGATGCCAAAGTTCCTTGGATGGAGAAATAGTGGCATTTAGACTTGGAGTCTTCTCGATTGGCCTGAAGTAATAGAGGCCATTTTTCATTTCTCCAATTCCAATTAATCTATTTGATGTGAGGTCCTCAAAAATACAAAATGTTGGGAAGAAATTACAACACAATTTAATTCTTAGTAAGTTTGCTCACAGATAAAAGATAAAAGATTACAAGTGAATTCAAGTACATATAAAATGTTATCAAGGGTAATATTAGGGGCTAAAATAGATTTCCCAACACCATGAATGGAGACAAGATTTCCATTTGGAATTCTTGCTTCATTATGCGTGGAAAAAGAATGCAATTGTTCAAGTTTATTTTTGTAACCTTCAGATGCACCAATATTTGATGATCCAATCACTAAGGTTCATGAATTTCTTACTAGGAACGTCGTTGAGAAAGAAATTTAGGTTCATAAACTCCTTACAAGAATCAAGATTACTTGAAACTGACTTGTGCTGCTAAAAAATTTGGTTGTTTCATTTTCAACCATTGTCCCGGCTTTGAAATAAAGGAAAGTTTTAGGAGGATTTACCCCGCTCTAATACCATATGAAATATAATTTTTCCCTCTGTATATTCATGGATGGATTACAACCATATAGATAAGTAAATGATAAACGGTAAACAAAAATGTGGAAAGGAAGTATAATGGGCAAAAATCCAACAAGAAAATAGAAAATGGAAATGAAATCAATGAAGAGTACTCGGATCCTAACCACTAATTACAAAATCTAATACGAATGATCTACATTTGATCAGCTCCATGATCTTTTCCAATAAGTGTGTATCTCCCTGAGAATTTTTTGTTCCTCCACAATCATAGGGTCCACACAATAGTAAACCAAACAATTGCCTAGGCTTCCTTACAGCGTCCACTGTGTATGAGGCCAATGTGTTGAGACATGTGTTTCGAGCATTCTTTTTGTGTTACTGCTTGAATGCCACACCAACAATAGCGAGAAGTCCATATTAACCATGAAGTCTTGCATTCAAAGAGCAGATGGTCTGAGCTTTCCGTTACCTGCTGACATAGAGTGCAAGATGGATAATTATCCCTTACTTGGACCCCTCTTTTCATCAAATTTTCTTTTGTTGGAAGTCTAAACCCTTTTAATTAGGGCTGAAGTATGTGTTTAGCTCTTTACCTTATTAAATTTGAAGCTTTTAGCCCCTTACTTTATACTATGAAGTTATTAGCCCTTACACTTAAAGGTTTGAATATTTTAGCTCCTAAGTTAATAGAATCCATTACTTGTTGTTAAATAAGAATAAAATATTTACAATGTAACAATTTAATTCCAAAAGTTTAAAAATTTAAAAAAAAAAGTAAACAAAAAAAAATTAATAGATGACTTTTCTACATACACTAGAATAGTATTAGATATCTATAATAAATTGAGTGATTAGCTCAATTTGAAGAAAGCATTTTGATTGAGATTAAAGAAAATTTCTTAGCTGAGTTAAGATAAAAAGTTCAAGATACTAGAGAAATATACTGAAGAAATTTTTTTTAATCTTAGTCAAATTTCTTCC